CAGTGACTCGAATAATATCGTAGTGCATGAAAAGGTAAGAAATTACAAGAATTCCTTAAATTATCACGTTACGTAGCCCTAAATAATTTGGCTTTACGTAAAAGTCAAGCTGCTTTACACATACCAACATTTAGTGGTCAAAATAGGCTTCTCAGAGATTTCTTACAAGGTGTTGAAAATGTTAGGTCCCTTATCTTAAATATGGAAGGGCCAATGTTTTTAAGAATAGTCAGTTTCAGGCTAAAAGGTAGAGGAATGAGTTGTCTCATTAATCAAGGCACTAGAGCAGCTAAAATAAAAGCTCTTTCCAACAGCATTCCTAAAAACCAACAGCTTGATTTCAAGTTATATCTGGAAATCGTTGGCCATAAAGCATTCATGCGAGGCCTACCCAATGGAGTCAAAGCCAACATGATGTCAAAAGTACCAAAAACGTTTGCCAGTGCTTTACAAGTAGCTTTAGAAGCAAAAAAAATTGGAAAAATATTGTACCCCAGTACTCACGCTACCATGTACCGTCAGAATTTACATGTGTACCTTGCTCAGCAGTTACACCCTACAGCAAGACAAAATTTATTAGTACACCAACAAAACAGACAAGAAAATTTTGCATATTTCCAGCCCAATCAAAACAATATACAACAAAATGTCTATGACGAAAATAGTTGTTTTAGTTTGATAAATGCCTGTGTCTCTGGGGCTATTTTGTGGCCGAGGGACCTGTGAAGACCTTACGAATGGACGAATATATTTTCATCAGTGAATATTATAAATAACGAGAACAAAAAAGAACAATAATACATTTCGAAGAGTATCTATACTACCTACTTACACGTAGGCATATACATGTTTAACAATACGTTCGTGAATATTACTTTCTGCGTCTCTCTATCTCTTTTCGGACAACTGTGCGTAGTTGCGCACGTGCGCAAATTTCGTTGGCTCTTTACTAAAGACGGATTGAGATGGGGTTTGGATAAAAACAATTAGAAGAACTCGAAAAAACTTCGCATTATGGTCAAATATTTAAATTTTAAAATATGTATATAAATATATAAAATATTGGGGCCAACGCTCCTCTGCGCGCTCCACGCACCAACCCATCTACTACAGCTAGGAAGCTAGGAAGCACGGAAGAGTAGTTAAAACAAGCTCTGTAGCTACTATTAACGCTGTGGCCTTCGGGCTACGAGACTCTCGCCAATTACTGTTTTTGACAAGAGCTCTGTGATGTGATCGAATATATATATATAACGCCCCCCTGCGTGCTCCACGCGCCAACCCCTCACTAACTAATTGAGTAGACAAAAAAGAATTTTATAATTGGATAAAGTACACATGGACCAGAAAGAGATTGCGAAAGTAAAAGTTCAATCAAGTTAAACAAGTTATGGTACTTTAGAGACATATAGTGAGTAAGGGGCAAAAAAAAGACAAAGGGGGCTCTATGATCAGTGACTTGAAAAATCCTAAAAACGAGGTATGACTTTGGTACTAAATTACATATCTTTTTTAACAATTCAGATAGTAAAATATTTAAATAAGTNGAGAGAGAGAGAGAGAGAGAGAGAGAGAGAGAGAGAGAGAGAGAGAGAGAGAGAGAGAGAGAGAGAGAGAGAGAGAGAGAGAGAGAGAGAGAGAGAGAGAGAGAGAGAGAGAGAGAGAGAGAGAGAGAGAGAGAGAGAGAGAGAGAGAGAGAGAGAGAGAGAGAGAGAGAGAGAGAGAGAGAGAGAGAGAGAGAGAGAGAGAGAGAGAGAGAGAGAGAGAGAGAGAGAGAGAGAGAGAGAGAGAGAGAGAGAGAGAGAGAGAGAGAGAGAGAGAGAGAGAGAGAGAGAGAGAGAGAGAGAGAGAGAGAGAGAGAGAGAGAGAGAGAGAGAGAGAGAGAGAGAGAGAGAGAGAGAGAGAGAGAGAGAGAGAGAGAGAGAGAGAGAGAGAGAGAGAGAGAGAGAGAGAGAGAGAGAGAGAGAGAGAGAGAGGGCGAAAGAGAGAGAGAGACGAGTCCCAGTAGTGAGGTGAACAGCAACTGAGGAGTGGACCAGACTTTTCATTGCATGTTTCCCCTCACATGGCTGTTTACTGCCTGCCATAAGATGTTTCACATCAAAAAAATAGCGTGTTAAGAAAATAATATTTAACACATACGAACTTTTGTGGAATCTTTCCTATATATTGCCAACTCAACTCGGTAACCTTTGCCAGACGAAGTTAGTATGTGTACGAAGTAAATAAAATAATTTTACGCAAATTTGGAATGAACTCGGCTTCAATTCTCAACCATCTTCTTCGTAAATAAGGACTCAAATCAACTGAAAACTGAAAAATAGAAAAACAGATGTTTCATACGCGTACAGGTAATACTACTGCGTGGATCACAACACAAGAACGCCGTATTCAAGATCATACATTTATCAGATAAAAACATTCGAAAGAAAGAAGAACCCTGGGTATCACAAGTAAAACCGTCGATGGATCACCTCGTATTTGACTTAAAAGTTGGAAATTTCTATCCACCAAACTAAATAACTTCACACAAGGTGACATCAACGCTTGTCACTTACCCGTAACAGCTACGACCGCACCAAATTGAAAGCGAGCAGAGATCACGACCCCTGAGAAAAAAAGACACCAGAAAATGCCGGAGAGATTCCTCCAAGCTAAACGACCACCCACCAGAAAATGACTTGAGAATCCAAAAATCACACTTCTTTGTTACTGGTCACTGATTCAGGACCATTACTTGGTTAGATCAACTAAGCAATCGGATAAATTTACGTCCTTTATCTTAATTCATCAAATAAATTAGTAATAAAATGGTACCGGCATTCAAAGGGAAAACTTACTATCTTTTGATGTGCAGCAGCGTGGAATAATGTAGTTAGCTCCGTCCGTGTTTCTCCAGTGGTAGGCAAGATGAACACTCCGAGATCCTTTCCAGTTTGAGTTTCAGTCATCCCTTGAAGAAAAACTTCTTGAGACTGACTTCTTGAGCACTTTTCTCCGAGGTCCCTTAAGTGAGTCCCCTGTCCGTAAACCACTGAAAGCCACCGCCTAATGCCAAACTCAAGATTTACGTATTCCTCAAACTAATTTTTCCCCAACGCTCTGGTACACACCCTCATACAAAACACACACTCCTTGTATGTTCACAATAATGTGCACTCAGCAGCATAGACGGGGTAACGCTACACAGTCACCAGTGGTGTATCCCTCCACTGCCTTACATCATGTATAGCTTTGCCGTACCTTGCCATGTACTTGTACACGGCTATACGGCGAGTAAACGAGCCGCGCCGTCCCAAGTTGCGCGAGAGAGAACGATAGTTGACTATGTACATTTCAGTATTTCTTGTCAACACCGCTGCATCCATTTAATCCATCGTGTGTGTTTTGAAATGATTCCTAATCCTTAAAGCTGTTTTTACTCCTACTGGAATATGTTATGCTCCAATACTGCAGCAGCTGACAATGTTGACATGAAGCAGCGATTATTACACAAGAGTAATATTATTTGTAGCGAAATTAACTGAAATAATGATTATTTCACAAAAATAACATTTTAGAGCACCAAAACACTTATTATGGATTGAATGGATGCAGCGTTGTTGACAAGAAATACTGAAATGTATATAGTCAAATATCGTTCTCTCTCTCGCATAATTTGGGATGGCGCGGCTCGTTTACACGCCGTACAGCCGTGTACAAGTACATGGCCAGGCACGGTGTAGCTATACATGCTGTAAAGCAGTGGAGGGGTACACCACTAGAGACTGCGTAGTGTTACCCCGTCTATGTTGCTGAGTACACATTAGCGTGAATGCTCTCAATATTATTTATAATTTTACTTATACGATAAAAAAAATTTTTAATTAGAATGCCGTGATTAAAGAAACAGTAATGGCTCTACATAGTTTTTTCATTCTTTAATGATAATACATATAAGTTGAGTAAATCAATGTTATTTTTATTCATAATTTAAAACTAGTTAATCCCAATCATAGAACTTACGTGTTTTTAAATAATAAAGGATAAATCATTCTTTTTTAAAATCTACTAATTACACCAATGAGTTTTATGTTTGCAGCATAATTTTTAATTCGTTATAGTGAACATACGTATTATCAGAGAAATAATATTTTGAAGCGTGTAGTAAGTGATGGCACTGATTTTTCGTTGATTGTTGCTTTTTTGTATTTTTGTGTGCAATACCTTAATGTAAATTAACATAAAATAAAATATTATAGGAACTTTACCAACTGGATTTATTTTTTGATACTACATCGGCTTTTTTAGCACTTTTTTATTTCAGAACAACATTTTATTCAAAAGCTATTTACACCAAAGTAACCAAGCTAGACGATGGGAGAACCTTGGCTTACGCTCCAACATGTATCTTTTTTTGTGATAAAAATGTATTGACTAATTTTGCCCCACAATCCATTGCAAGAAGTTTTTTTCTTAATTCCGTTAAATGTATACAATTTTGAGTAACATACATTTGTAGTAAAGTACTCTAATGCATTTAAACTGCGTTCCAATTGCAAGTGCTAGTAGTCTTCAAGATTAAGTATATCAAAATATATTATCTTCCGATTTCTTATCTATTACTAAGGTTTTTTTTACAACATATATAACATTGTTTCTACAATGAATAATAAATAGTTTATTTTTTGTTTCGTATTATCTTAATAACACTATTCATAGAATGAATGAAAAACAAAAATCGAAGCTCATAACTATTGTTAATAGTACTTATCAAAACTTCGAAATGTATGATTTACGTATAATAAGAATAAGCTTATTCTGCATGATCCCTTTAGTAACAATAAAAGTAAATATCTTATAGAAAACAACAAAATATATCATTCAGACCGAAGCCCTATCATAAGTATCTCCACAAATAAGTTTTATTGTTATTGATCTTTTACTACTATGAATTGCACTAACACAACCATTGTTACATGTTTTTGTATTGTAATGTTCTACAAACTTATAATTTTCAGCTGTTGGTGCTGCTTATGGCTTAAAAAACCACCATAAAGACCAATGTGTAACTTGTTACTTTGGAGAAGGTGCAGCAAGTGAGGGAGATGCACATGCTGCACTTAACTTTGCAGCAGTCCTGGAATGTCCTATATTACTTATATGGTAAAAATTTTTACGCTTTTGGTATAAAACTTTTTAAGACACTAATTTTTTTTATTAATATGTTTCCTAATTTAAAGAAAAATTAAAATTTATACTTATATACTTCTTCATACTTAAGAGTTGAGACTTAAAATATGATGATACGGAAATAAAATTATTGCAGTAATACTAAGAATGTATATATCTCTAAGTGTTCCAATTACTTATGAAAATTCTAGAGCTAAAATAACATTTTACTTAAGCAGTACACCCTTATCATTTCAGCTCTATTTATATGTACAATTCTCTCTCTAAGCCTGTCTCTTATCATACTCTCTTTCTACATTTTAACTTAAAATTATTAATTAAGCTACAAAAACTTTCGAATATATTTGCAAGTTCCTAAAAATAGTTTATCTGCTAAGCAATTGATAATATTTAATTATATCTATCATAAATAATTAATAGACTTTTGTATAATAATTGAAACCTTCATGGTTAAAACCCCAAGTGCAAATCTGAAAATCTAAATATCAGTTTTATGCATATGAAATTGGTTGAAATAAATTGAATATTCTTTTTCTCCTTACAACTATAGATCCACTTGGAATTTTCTTAACATAAATTTGAATAAAAGAAAATTATGTTGTTTTTGAGAAAAACGATACAACATAAACAAAAATGCATTATAATCAGTGCTTCCACAAATACGAGTAATTAATACTATCTGTACATTAGTATAATATTAAAAATTAAATTAAAAGACAAGATAAAAAAGCTTCGGTTTTGTTAGGTGACTCATGAAAATGGGTGACATATGAATAGTTTCTATTATCATATATAAAACAACTTAAAACTGTACTGTGGAGTATTACGTATTGAAAACAATGTATATAAGTTCTATCTAACTATATCCTGGGTTGTAAAAAGTTTTAAAAAGTATGTATATACATGAAGCTTATCAATAATATATTAAAAATTTAGAGTTGTGAGAAAAATATTAATTTACGTTTTAATAATATCTAAATACACTTACGCCAAGGTTCTCATCCATTTTCAACCCGCGTAAAAGTGGCTTAAGTTTGCCAAACTTAAGCAAAACTTTTGCTTTGCACAAGTTTGCCCATAATTGCCACTAATAATTTGCCAAACTTGCTTTATCACCTTCGGTCAAGTTGAGAAAACATTTGCATTCGTTTGCCCACGATTCCCCACGTTGGCCCATCTTTGTAAAAATATGAATTATAAATAAAAGATATGTACATTAAAAATTATTAAGTTAGGAACGTTTTTCTTAAAGCAAAAATAATTACTCATCATACAATGTAAGTATTTTTTATTGAGATTTATTTATGTACAATGCTTCAACCGCAAATATTTTATCCTCAATTCTTAAATTGTAAAAAACGTTAACAATATTGTTTACATTTAATAAAACTATTTCCTTTGCTTTTTCACATTAATAAACGATAGGAACGTAACTTTAGAGAATATTACACTTGAAAACAATATGTAGCTTATATTTTGTAACGACCGCATTATTTTCATAAGTTACATTACAATTATTACACAAATACAAACATTGACAATCGCATAATTTAAGAAAAGATTTGAGAAATCCTATGTGCAATGTATGATTAAAAAAAATTTGTATACATGATGAATTCATTTTTTCCTTAGGTGCATGAAATTTGGTTTCATAATAAACATTTTTATTTAATATGCTATTAAAAAAGTGGCACTTGTTATCAGTATCAGCATGCACATTTATTCCATTATTGTTAAAAATATCAATTCTATAACCACGTGAGCCTGCAATAAATTTTCTATCTGCGCCTACGATAAACGTGTTATCATTTATTCGTTTAAGTTTTCTTCTACGCGTGCTGCTTTTTTCTATTTTCATACAAAAATCAAAAATTTTACTATTTTCTTTGACATATTTTTCTTTTAGTTCCGTATAGCACAAAAATGATTTTACTGCTGAACTTATCTATAACTAAAGACTTTTAGAGTCATGCACATAATTTTTTATGATTCCATTTAGGTTTTCAAATGCAAAACATGACAAAACCCGTGATGGTCCAAATTTTTTTACCTTATCCGCAAAGTGGAGTAAGAGATGTAACTTACACGTCATGTACTTCTCACCGTACAAAAAGTCTTGAATTTTTCAACATATTCATTTAATAAATATCTCGCTTTTTCAATCATATCATTGCTAACGCTGGGATGACTTAAGAAATAAATTCCGTAAACTAATAGAATGTGATGTTGGAAATACTCAGTTTTTATAAATTCTTCTAACACAGGTAAACTGTAGGCGAATAAAAAAATTTCCAGTTCAAGCACTTTCCAGTATGAGTAGTCTGAAATTTTTCTTGGTAAACGATCCAAAAACGAAGGAGGGGTAAGATTTTTCAAAATTTTATCAATGATATTAATAAAAGCTAGCAATGACGATGGATGATTTCTAAAATCTGAGTTGAACCAAAATGCCATTAGTCTTTTAATGAGTTCTTGGTAAATACAGTGCATTTCATCTATTGCTGTAGACTCAATATATTTATGTCCAATTAAACCTAATGCACTTGGACCTTTCTTACCTAGTACTGTAGCTTTCCTTCCAACAGCCTGTTTTGCGTAAGACAGTGTTTTTTCTGTCGTTCGCAGACTAAAGTTTTGATTTAAGGGGTAAATTTGAACATGTTAGATTTTTTAAATTTCTATCTCACAGTTTGGACACCCATGCTTCCCATTATACTGTTGGATATTTAAAAATAAAGCTTTCGCGGGGAGATCGCTAGTGCCACTAATTATCATTCCTTTAACTTTTACAGTATTATTTTCATTTGGAATTTTAAAGTCAACACCACGTAATAACTTTCTCAAGTCATCTTCAAAAATCGATACGAATAAATCAACGACAGGCTTGTTCTGACCAATCCACAGACCACTTAAAACGATATTTTCTTTTTTTATCCGCAAATCAGGAGGTAATTCATTAATCATGAAATACAAAGGCCAGACACTGATTTTAGATGATTTAAATAAAGCTATATCGACAGAGTTCCAAGAAAAAGTGTTGTTATTATTATTTCGTGTAAAATTTGCAGGTAAAAATTTGTATATTGATCCATCATAAATATCTTCGTAATCATTTCTATATTTTTTTAACTCACGCAAAACGTTATTTTAAGTTTTTTCTCAAATCATTTCTTTTGAACATCGACGTTAATTGAGACAAAATAGAGATTTCAATAAAATAGTCAGACGTATCTTTGTTACATTTTGTGCAATGCGTACTTTCACTAACTTAAGAATAACAACTTGAACAATAATAATGTCGATTAAGAGGTGTTTCGATATCTGCGAAAAACTATTTAAATTTATACAATGTTTTCACACACTTATTTGGCTTAATGCAATGTAATTTTATAAAAGAAAGAATGCCTTATAAAAGTATACCTGGAATTTGGAATTTAGAAGTTAGTGCAAAAATAGCTAAAATACTTTCTGAAACAGTTAGTGAAGCTTGCGGGTATAAAGGTACATCGGCATCTGCCAAGATGTCTTCAATCTCCGACTCATTTTCGCTTTCAGAGGAAATTTTGCTCGTCAATTCTCCATCTTCTAAAGAACTTCTTTCAGCCTCATATTCAGAGGAGCTTTCATTTTCATCGCTTCTATCGTCAAATGCCTTTAGTTGATCGTACGTTTATAATAAAAGAAAAAATAAGTTACCGGGGGTATGTACATGTATACATGCTGCGAACGTGACACTTTATTGTGCTTCTGCGTTTTTGTGTGTGAATATGCATGTATGTATACTGGGTGTAAAAGTACGCGTGGGTGTTTACTTACGTTTGTATTTTTTTAAAATGACTCAGTTCACACTTAAATTCATTTTAAAATCGTTTCACTTGTGCAAGAAAGATGTATACAAATTAATTTAATTACTTTCAGCGTTCTCGTATATCTCAGCATCCGTACGATTATCGTTACTCTCAGCGTCATCAAAATCAATGCCAGTGTAATATGAAGAGCTTTCTAAAAATGAAATTGCGATGTGTAGAATCTACAAATTAAGAGTTTTATGCAAAGATGCACACCTGTGACAAATATTTTTTCAACCGAGGGGGCAATTAATTTTTAAACGTACAAAAAAATAAAAACACTGTCACTTATCCGTTTTTTTTCAGTATCCTATATGTAGAATCTTTTGAGTATTTTTTAAGGTAATTTTTCCGTTTCGGCATTTTTAAATTATATTACAACAAAACTTTTTGTTTAAAGAAATATACGCTGAGTACTAAATCGTTTGCACGTACAGCTATGAAAAAAGTGACGTTCTCTCTTGTTGATCGTTGCGAGAAACAAAAGCTCTAAGTTCAGTTGAATCAGACATCAGCGAACAACACGATTTCCTTCTCAAAATATATGCCTTAATTTTATGGAAAGATACAAAAGATACGAGTGTATTACCTATAAAAGATGTTAGAACGAAGAAAGAAAATTACGAGGTGGAATGATGAGGACGTTGGTACATGGCAGAACTTATAAAAACGAGTTGTAAGTAAAAAAATTTTATTCTAACCCTATCAATTTTATTCAATTGCATGTACGTCATATGAAATGCTTAAAATCTACCAATCGGCTACGTGCAGAAAAAAATACGTTTTTAAAAACGGCAGTTTAATTTTTTTTTATTTATGCAACCTGATTTTCTTCTCACGTTTTTTACGCAGTAGCTACACATCAACGTATATATTTATAACTAGAGTGGGATGCATATAAGAGGCAAGGCGTGAGAGTTGACAACGCAGACTCATTTTCATTAACGCGTGTAAATTAACTTAAAAGCCGTCTGAAAACTCATAATTTTAGCTAATTGTTTCTTTAACCAGGTAATAAATATTAGCTGGAATCCTTATACGTTACGACAGATGGTAATGTAATTACGCCTGATAAGCGTAAATTGACTTCAGATAAATCGATTTACAAGAAACGGCAGTGTAATG